GTTTTAATGATGTGCTGTACATGGTACATTCCTTATTTAAAATTAAGGGGTTGGAGAAGTGGAAGGGAGAGGTTGATACATGACAGATGTCTGTATTATAAAAATATGTTCCATTTGGAATAAAAATCAACCTGTTTTAGCATTTTCTAAAAATCCAATGATTAATGCCGAACAACAAGATTAAACTGTTTTGAGTGACCCACTCTGTATTTCAAAAATTGCTAGATTTATCGAATTAGTTTATAAAAGAAAATCTGCTTAAAAATGCATTTTTTACCAGATGCGTCATATAAGAAAGATCCTCCCATCGAAAAACAAAAAAAATATTGAGCGCAGCGCTATCTACATATGGACCTATTTAAAATTAATTTATATCTAAAACTGAAGCTCTCTTAGTGCTCTGTGAACTGGCTTTTACAGAATTAAAATATCTCTATCACTTACCAAAATATCCGGCCTGGGAGTTTTTATTGGTACACCCTGTATAGACGAAATCATAAATCGATTTTCAAATGAAAAGACAAGTATGAGAAAGAAAATAAAAAAATCCGTACCACACAATAATATGTTTTCTCTACGGCCACTACTGAATGTAGTTTTTCCGAAACCACTTGTAATAACAGAAAGAAAACATTCTCACTCTTGAGGTTAAAAGAAAATTCTGAAACACTTGCCTCTTATGTATTTTACACATATTTCATTCTAAAGATACAATGTTCATTTTGTAATAGCTACTAGTCAATGGCTGTGAATACTACGCCCGCATCGTAGATAGTTATGAAGTTTATGACAGTTCTACGCGAGGTATTAGTATTTAGTTTGAATTTGCCTGAATAAAGATAAGCGGCGTTTGTTAAGTCAAACTTAAATTCAAGAATTTTATAATATTCCTCCTGAACTGCCAAATTATGCAAATAATTTAAATAAAAACGTGCCTAACATAAGTTAGATTAAATATTCCATTTTGTTCAGTTTTATTTTAATATATGCAACTCCTACTGTGTTTGTGGCAGTAGAGAAAGTACAATCTGTTACTCTGTTTGAATGAAAATTCGATACGAGCGTGAAGAACAATTTTTGGAACAGTTTTTAGAAACTAGAAATTTTTCAGAAAAAAAAATACTACATGTTCTAAAAACAGACAATAACGCAACGAATTTTTGTTGTAAATAATACAATTCGATTTATGAAAATGACCTTAATACCTTTTCTGTGGTTATGGATCACCCTTTATGGGCGAAATTATTTTATGAATATGTAGCTTCTTTGAAGGTGTGTACTACTGAAATTGAACTGAATTCTTTTAGTGTGGCTATAATATACTTCGGGGGCAAATAATCGGCCCATCGTTTATAATCTTTTGCTATTAAAATATCGTTGATATCGGGATTAAATATTTTTACCGTGTAATATACACAGGATCTGTCACACTAACTAATTAACTGAAGGGTTAAAAATTTAATTTTTTTAGTACTTTATTAACGCTAAAAAACTAAGAATCCTTCAAGCAACTAATTACCAGCGGAGGATTTACCGGTACGTTTAGTACGCTAATGCGTAGGGCCCCAAATTATTAATATATGTTATCGATAAAAAAAATATTCGTTAAGGAAATATCTTATAAACATTTTCAGTAATATAGTAGCAACTATCACCAAACTTAAATCTTGTTTATGTTTTTGCTCATAGAAAAAATAGATGAGAAAGAAAAATCCAAAAAAATAAAGGCCTCAAAATCGTAAATCCGCCTCTGCTTATTACGTCAGTAAAATTATTATTGAATGCCTGTAATTATTGTTAGTATGTACCTACCTCATTTTTTATGATAAGTTTGTTTGTTTTAACTCAAGAGAACGATATTTAAGTTTTACACAAATAAGATTATTTAGTTTTAATTGTATGGAATTAGGTAAGTATACTTTGTACATCAAAACATACTTAATTTTAAATCTAAAGGCGATAATGTAATGGATTATTTACATCTAGTGACGAATTTTATTACAAAATGCCGTCTTGAAGAAGAGAGAGTTCAAATGATTGAGGCATCAGAGTGTTCAGCAAGGTAGATATATAGGCGCACGTTAAATAAGAAATAAAAAACTGCCTATTAACATCAATAGCGTCGAATTATGTATGAGACCTCTATGAAGAATGTATTTCTGGCTACAGAAAACGCCATATAGAATGGGACATAGAATACCTGAAGATTCTCTGATTAAAAAATAAGACTATTATACCAAACATGCTTAAATAAAATATTACTAGTTTCCGAAATACAGGGTGTTAAAATTGAAAATTCAAAAATTATGAATGGCCCATCGAATGGCTTTAATTGTTTTATTTCTTAGCATAATTTTACTAAATTCAGCAAACATTTTTGGTATCATAAGATACACCTATTAGCAAAACAATCAGTTGAATAAACTTTTCCAAGGACATGCGGCATTGATAAATAATATCATCCCCTCTAAATTTTACGCCACTGCCCAAACACTTATTTTCACTATATTTTTACGTTTTTTGATATTTTTTAAATAAATCATGTTCTCTTGTTGGGAACTCATAAAGTGATATGATTTCGAGAAATTGACACTCAAAGGTGGACATTTGATTTTAATTTATTTTTTATTTTTGATTTTTCTATAAATTCCCAACAAGATTTATTTAAAAACATCAAAAAATTCAAAATCCTAGTCTAAATAAGTTTTTGGGAGCTGTAAAATGTAGAAGGGATGAATGTGTTACTTAACCATGCCGTACACCACTGGCAAAGTTAATTTCACTGATTTTTTTGCTGTAAGGTGTATCCTATGACACCAAAATCAACTGCTCACTAGAATTTAAAAAAAAACTAAATAATTTAAAAATTAATTGAAATGAGGAATTTCCAACTTTGAGTATGAATATCTCGAAAGCCAATTATTTTATGAGTTCCCAACCAAAGTATATGGTTTATTTAAATAATATTACAAAACATAAAAATATAGTACAAATAAGTTTTTCAGAGAATCTTCAGTTGTTCTGTGTCCAATGAAACACCCTGTATATTGTAGTGTCACGTGAGCCACTTCCAATCAGACCGGTCTTGCTCTAATCCCTTAAGTCTTTCACTATTTTATTTGGGCCTTTTACGGCACTCATTTTTCCAGTTATCAAGAATATTTGATGAAATAAGTCAGCCTCTTAAACCCCTTTGATACGCCTTTACTCGATCACCGGTAGTTGAATTATCATTCAAGAATATACTGGGCCCGTCGACGATAATTAACGAAAAATCTAGAGACAACGATGGTGAAGGCATCGCCGTGGCATGTTCTGGCGGATGCGCTTATTCTTAGTCGAAATAAATGTCTAGACAGTGGTTCTCAAACTTTTTTAGTGACGGAACCTTTTTGAAAAGCGAAATATTTGACGGAGCCCTAAACACATTTCTAAAAAAAAGGTCCTCCGAGCAAAATCCTCCTTGTCCTAGCCTCTAGCCAGGTCCCTCCCTTTTCTTCGTAGAGCCCCCACAAAAAAATCCTTAAAATAATATCCTCCTTCCTATTAGTGGCTTCTAAAAAAAAATAGTACGATTGTACTGCTTTTTTTTTGTTAGGACTATTATTTTCTTCGTGGAGCCCTCACAGGCTTTGCGCTTTGGGGAGCCCCAGGGCTCCGCGGACCACACTTTGAGTAACGCTGGTCTAGAATATTCTAGTAGATAACTTTTGTATGTAAATAGACTGTTTTGCCGTTTAAGTCAGTTGAAGTTAAGATATCGTTCTGTTCAAATAAATGTTGTTAATGTATCTAAATTAAAAATAAAAATTAGTGTTGTACCTATTTAGTACAAATAAATTAAAATATAAAATAAATGTTTTAGTGAAAATATTGTAATGTACTCGTATCAATTAATTACTTTATATATGTACATATTTGTACATATTTGTTATTATAGAGAGCCAAAACGAGACATCAAATCTTCTAAATAAATAATGTCTTGTATACATATGAAATATTGTTACTGATTATGCTTAAACTCGAATATTTCCAATCAATCCCACTTTTTCTCTTTTATATATTTAAAGACATTAGTTGTTTACCCTGACAAAGTCTATCTAGATAATAAGTATAAATATCGAATATTTTTAATTAACCAGACGATTATTATTTTAGATTCGAGACATATTAGTCGTAATTTTTAACATTATTATATAACTAATTCATGTATTTCCCAAGTAATAAAAGTAACTAAACACCAGTTGTAGTAATGAAAAGTGTTTTTCCTACGACCACTTAGGAAAGTGACACATATCACACTATATAGTCCAATGGAAAGTGCCCTATATCACACGCGTATAAATAAGAATTTACTTTCCACCCGTGTACGAATATGTTACTACATATTAATACTAAAATCGATATGATTGTTAAATTATTGAAATTGTTGTAAATTAGATCCTAGATATTTATCTTTAACAATTATTATTAATTTTAAAATAATGTTTGCTCTTTATTCTGGTTAAATACATAACCGATTAGATCATTCAATTGACACAAAGGCTATTAGCTCAGGTGGTTAGAACGTCAAACTTATCAACTTTGCGATTTGAGACCGCGTTCAAATCCTGGCGGGGCAGAATTTTTTTTTGTTTTTTTTATTTTTTTTTTATTTTTTTTAGTTTTTTTTTGTTTATAAAATATGAAAATTGAATAAATACGATTATTGTTGATTATTTTTTTAAATACATTTTAATTATTATAGTAATAATAACCTTGTTTTACATTTTTTGATGACATTATTTTGTGGTCGTAGGAAAAATATTGTACATCACTTGTGTGAAAAGTGATTTTCCACACTCGTAATGTAATATACTATTTCCTCTTCCTGACGACAATCCATTACAATATACTAAACTATTAAACAAACAATTTAAATAAATACATGTTACAATGGTAGGTACTTACAAACATTCATTGGAAAAATACTGTGTTTGAAGAAAATTGAAATTACTTACCAAGTTTTATCCAGCATTCGACCAGCTATGCCCATGCCTCTATAATTAGAATGAACAGCCATTATGCCGACGGATATGGCTCTGTTGCTCTTGGGAAATTTTTTGAAAGGATCAGATTGTTTATCGACATACGACAAAAAATTGACAATTGTATTAAAATCTTTATTTTCACTTTTTATAACACTGTCATCTTCTGTATGATTTTTTTCTAAAATGGAACTAATACAAACGGCAATAATATTACCGTTTTGTATGACTTTTAAACTTTTACCACTAGCGTAATCTCTCAGCAGAAAATTTTCCAATTCTTCATTTATTGGTTTTTCTTCTGTTATGAGATTGATAGCTCGATTTATTGGTTCATCCTTCATGAAATTTTTTCTTACGAAATCTACGACGTCTTTGTGGTCCTCTTTTTTGATTATTTGTAATTCATACGTCATATTGTCTATATCTATATCAAAGATTTGCTGAAAAAAAAAATTATATATAGATAATTCGAGCACCGCAACTTGATTTTCCAATTTAGTAGACATATGAGCTCTAAATCAAATTTCTAATTGGTGGCATTCCCTCTTCAATCATTGGAAATGTCTGACTCTTGGACCTAGCTGAATATTTTTAGTTTTGATACAAGCTTTTGATACAAGAGTAGTCTAAGGTCTACCTATTTGACTGTGAATGCAGTATTATGATTCTCTCTTGAGAGTAGGTAAAAAATTATGGAAATATTGTGAAAACTAAGAAAGCTTGTTTTAAAATTGAAATAAAAACAAAACTTTTTCAACCAACCACTATGATCTTATCCATCCATCCATCAACAATGTGGTGAACCTTAAGATGTATATGCTATCCCGACAACACTGCAGTAAACAAATACTATGACTAGCATCTGCGCCTGATCACAGGTAGTCTGACTCATTACCAAGTACGGAAGCATATCCATAGCATGTGGCTGTCAGAATCCGCACTCTGCAGGGATGCGAAAAGAATATATTATCGAGCATATCCACCTCTCGGTGACGTTGTCAACTATATCAAATCTGTAGGCTGGCTGACGAATTAAGGGACCTATCAATTTAGGAGGATGCATAAAGGGCCTAGTGAGGCATAAGTGGCGTGGCGGTAAATTACACTACACACGTTACAGATACAGAGATGATCTTATTATATTCTTCACACAGAAGTCTATGAAGAGTATTATAGGTTTACTTTCGAGAAACCAAAATTTTTTAATATTGATCCATATTTAAAAATATTTTGTACCAAAATCCTTCTCATCAAATTTTCACCCGTCTGTCCGTTCGTCCATCCGTCCGTCCGTCCGTCCGTTCCTCCGATGTCACGTTTTTGTCCGCACTTTGAAACAACTATCACGAGTATTTATTTTTTTTAATAAAATATAAACTACCAAATTTGGTTTTTTTCATTCTAAAACAATGTCACTGACCTATTTGATAGAATTAATACTTAAGTTATAAAAATCACCAAGAACAACTTTCATTAAATTTTCATTTCACATTATATTTATAAAGCCGTCCCTTTCCCCGGACAAGCTCAGCTTTTGGGATTAAAATTCACTTATAAGGGGGTGAATTAGGGAGAGTATTATTATTATTATTTTATTATTTACAATTTTGGTCGTAGATAAAATGTATAATACACGTGTATGAGGTGCTTTTTGCGCCTGTATCACAATTTTCAAAACTCTTGCTCAAGAACATTACAAACCAACTTGTATCATAAATAACTGTTGAAGTATAAAGTATGTTACTAAACTAATATAGTTAGATTAAAAATAAATGTATGAATGAAATAAAAACAACTAACATTTTTAAAACTTACCTGTGATATCTATTTAGCGATAAAATTGAAACTGTGAAATAAAACTTACTTTTCTAGTACATAAGGATTTACCTATTACCTATCTACATTAAAAATATTTGAACAAGCTGGCAAAATATTTTTAATTTAATTGTCAATCACAATTAGCGTTAACAACGTTGAATTCTAATTCAACGGATGATTTTTTATAATGTTATAAAGTATACAGTAACGTGACGAAAGTAATAACTCATAAAAAAATCAAAGGTCAAATATAATCTCAACTTAAAATTATTTGGACTGTTCCCAAACCATTTTAGAGATATTCAAACGTATGTAATCATAAAAAAAAACTCATGAGAGAAGTATTCAACATCCTGCTATTTAGACACACTACAATTTAGAATTTATTAAAGTTGTAACAGAAAACCTGTATAAGTTTATATTTGTTTAAGAATTGATAAGAAAGATTTAATATTATTTTCCCAATCAAAAGATTCTAATTTGGACAAAGAGATTAATTAAAAAAGTCTTGATATTCAATTATACTCTGTATATGAAAGGTAGAGGAGGGTGGATTACACCCACACCGCTTTGGCATCATTAGGCCCATTATGCATTATCCAAGGGCACATTGAACCTTCCTTTCAGATCGTTGGATAGTTGTCTCCATTTTTAGGAAGTGGGCTTCTACCACCCCCATGGTAAATTCCCGGACGGACAGATAAGAAAACATACAAAAAAACAATTAAATTATATCATTGGATAACCTAACCTTAGCCTGAATACTAGTTCATATTATGGGACACAAAGAAAATGAAGAGATTGACTCACCAAGTTAGAGGCATGCCAGAGAGCCGGAATAGGAACAAGAATACGTTACATAAAATACTGTTAGGACTAGGTATATTAATAAGGCATTGTAGACATAACGAAAGTAATATATTGCTTTGGCCCGGGTGGCTACCTGACGATTGCCAGGAGTCCCCGTTTAAAGAAACCCCAAGAACCCAGTGAAAAAAAATAAGTTTGGAAAGAAGTTACTTTAATTAAAATTACTACTGCCATACCATTATTAGTTGTTTACCAGTACAACTGTAACTAATAATAGTAACAGTAGATTTCGATTTATCTTATTTTTTTAAGAAAACCCATCAGTCAGGAGGCTTCATCCAATAATGTAACCGAGTGGATTAATTCCCGGGTGGATCCATTATGGTACAGTCTTTTTGTAAGAAGTAACACTGATTGAGACAGCTGGCAGCGCTAGTACGAACGCGGGCTAGTGTCTTATTTGGTTGGTGTTGGCGTTTATCTCCACTTCAACGCTCAACTTCAAAATATCGATTTCACAATAGGTTCTTTCGTTCGTTCCACTGATGTAGGAATGAACTACACCAATGGACACTAAACCTTTCGTTTGGCCGGGTGTAAAATCCACTACACCTTCCTGTCGCCGATGTGGTTTCCACTGGTGGATATTTTCTCCACCAGCTATTTAGTAGAAGTGAATTACACTCGACATGTGTATAAAGAATAAGGAGGAAGTAAACTAGGTAAATAAGGTGGTGTAATTGACACTGGTGGACACTGCGCCAACAGCGAACGAAAGAACCTATTGTAACAAACTTACAAAAGTGGCACAGAAATGAAAAAAGAGAAGAAAAGAAGCAACAGCTGCCGGTAAGGGCTTCCGTGAGGGAACAAATCTAGTCAGAGGTGAACTGTTTGACAGTATCTACTATGCTACTGTAAATGTTTAAAAAGATTGATCTTCTTTAAAGTTGGAAAAGAAAACCAAGTAGCAAATAATTAAACTTCTTCGTGAACACCCGGAATAATTTGAAATCGAAATTATACGTGACAGTAACTATGCATTCGCATCGTGAAGCTATTTAAATATGTATTTTTATACAAAGAGGCCCTATAAATAAAGCCAGAGTTTCTTTATTTTGCAAACTAAATTTATTGTGGTATAAAGTCGTAAAGTCCAAATTATGCTAGTGAGTAGGTACACCGTAGATAGGCCTTGCTCTGTTTACAAAAAATCGTACAAGAGATGCTTTTATAAGATTAAAGAGATAGGTACTAATATGAATGAATGATATATATCTTATAAGTCAACGGACAAAATAACTACCCAACAAACATTTTGTTACGGCAAGTTAACGGCCTTCAAACGTTACTTCAAGTAGTGGCCATTAGAGATCTGGCATTGGTAAGTCAACTTTTTGTCAGAACGGGCGGCAGAAGCAGTGAAAGAAAAGTAACTGGCCAGCAGTTTTCCATAATATTAATGTTAACTTCCCTCTATGTACTTGTATAAGGGTCGATTTTTTCACCTCTGAGTAAAGTTACATGTAAGTTTACTTTACATATTAACAAACAATAGCCCTATAGTTTAATCAGCAAGTAGTTACTTTCAACTTTACTCAGAGTTTAAAATACTGGCCCTTAGTCTCGTAAATTTATTAGGTATAAGTAGTGAAAGGCCTGCAATGGGCCAGTAGTTTCTCGTAATACTAATGTTAATTTTTCTTCAAAGGGCTTGAATAAGGCTTCTAACTTTACCATGCATAAGTAGTGAAAGTCCTGCACTTTGCCAGCAGTTTCCATATTATTAATATTAACTTCCCTTCCAAGGGCCTGTATAAAAATGATGCCGGACTTTTAAAGAGAATGTACCACGTGTGACATGCAAAAAAAATGTAATTTTTGAGGAATGGGTATTAATACCCCAATCCTCAATTTATGTGTTACTTTATCAAAGTAATTCAATGCTCCACATGGACATTAACTGAAATTTTTCCATATTACACTTGTATCAAAATTATATTATTTAATTTTTAAGTTATTTTTTTATTTATTTAAGTTAATTTTGTGTTGTGTATTTGAATTACTAATAAAATTAGATCTCATATGAGGCACATTGTCATAGGTAGATAACACTTTTTCCCCCCAGAAAGGGGTAAAAATTGAAATTTTGGTATACTCGTACTATTAATTTATTGCTGCATCCTCAAAAAAAAATACCTTTTTCATTTGTGTTTCACACATCCCAGATAGCGCAGGACATCCTAAGGACATCCATTACAAGTCCATTTATCGTCTGTACGTCCAGGACCAATTCTGTATGTTTTAAGTATGTTTTTAGTAAATCCTCAGGACGTCAAGAAATAGATATCCGTAGAACGTCAATTCTACGTGCTTTATTATATTTCCATGGATTCACACTCGCATTGTATTATTATTTGGTTATATTATATAAACAACATATGTAATGAGGTAATATAAATAATTATTAAAAATGGCATGTCCCAATATCCAATTGAATGAAGGCCAAATAGACAAAAAACGAATAAGGTCTTTGACAAGTGACATTTTTTTTATTATTATTTGTTTAAATTCAAGTACTGAAATATTCTCAGGGCTCAGGTTTTATTAAAAAAAAAGAAAAAACGTGGTGTTCAATGTTCATGATTCGATGGTATGTACTGTACATATTATACGAGTACAAGTTCTATCATTCCGCCATTTGACTGTGATTCGACTCTGTGAGTTTGTGGTTGATTAATATTAATTTTTTGCAGTTTGTACTATTTTTATCTCTGATGAGAAAGGTGGAAGTTTTCCAGTGAATACTACAAAGCTAAAAGGTTAGTGAATGTGAATTCATAATGTCTAGCAGGGTAAACCTAAACAAACAGATTGG